CGAGCCTTTGATCCTCCTCCGTGAAGGTCGAATGATATGAACTTTTGCTCCTGAGATTATGGGTTAAACATTTGTTTGCTTTTTTGTAGAAAGCGTGACATCACGGGATGACATCACACTTTCAGGTGCGCTCAAAGAAAGATCTTATACTGATTTTACATTCTGACTCGTGGCCGACTTCTGACTACAGCCTGAGATCAGAGCAGAGGTGGGTCAGTCAGAGTCCTCAGAGCTCTGTTTCCATATGTTTGTTAAACATTGTGGTCACTTCCTGCTTCATGTTCTTATTCTTGGAATCTGATAGAGGCAGTGAGCCCAAACCTCCACCACGGCAGCTCACTGTCTATTTTAAGAAATCTGCAGGAAAAACGAGTGCTGGTCTCGATGATGGTTTTTAATGGATTTACATGACCCCTGCAGACTTTAATCAGAATGAAAAACTTTAGGGATGTAGACTCAAACAGAAGCTTTATCATTGGAAACCTGTAGAACAGTCCGTACATGATTAAAAAAAACAAGGAAATACACAACAGGCCCGCTTCAGGTCAGGTATCTTATCTTTTCAAGGTCCTGTCTTCATTCCCTCACCCCCAACCCTTCAGAGCAGATGGGCGCCCCTCCCTGAACCCCAAAGTGATTGCTCATAGGGGGTCATATTATTGTTGGGTTTTTCTTTGTATGTATTGTTATAGGATCTACCTTACAATATAAATCGCCTTGAGGCAACTGTTGTTGTAATTTGGCGCTATATAAATAAAACTGAATTGAATTGAATCCCCCCACCCCCAACCCTTCACAGCAGATGGCCACCCCTCCATGAGCCTGGTTCTGCTGGAGGTTTCTTCCTGTTAAAGGGAGTTTTTCTTTCCCTCTGTTGCCGAGCACTTGCTCAGGTGTTCGTCTGATTGTTGGGTTTTCTCTGTATTACCGTAGGACCTTTATTCTACAGCACAAGGCGAATGAGGCGACTATTGTTGTTATTTGGTGGTATTTAAATAAAACTGAACTGACCCACAAAAACATGCATTAAGGCTCTTTAGTATTAATAATAATGATCACTAATAACATTAACTTTTTTTAATGCAAACTTCTTAAACCCGCCTTTTTCTGCATGTCCAGCCTAAATCGTGATTACATTCACTCTGAAACTGACAGTCTAATCTTGATCTTATGTCTACAATGCAACGGCCTCACTGGGCAGGACCTCCGTCACCCCGCGAGGACACAAGGTCCTCATAAATACATGACCGCACGCTCACACGCTAAAGCATGTCAGACTCAATCAGGCGGCTCCAGGAGTAGCAAGCACAAACACATGCCCTACAACAGCAAAATGCACGACAGCCCCCACGGATGCATTCATGCATGCTCACCAGCTATAACGCTACAATCTCTCTCTCTCACACACACACACAATGGGAGCTGTATGGATTGTTTACTGCAGGCACGATGTTGCATTTCTTGTGGGCGTTTGCGTTTCCCTGCCCTTCACCCACACAAACCACCAGTTTCACTGTCAAGCAGCACTTCAGCTCCCTGCAGGCCTGACAGCTTTACTCTTTATTCAATACAGCAGCCGGGCGCTGATAAATCCAACTGGACATATAGGATTGATTGATTAAATGCTGCAAAGATAAAAGCTAACCTAAGAAAGTAGCAGAAAGAAGGCAAAGAAGAAAAAAAGGCTCCGATACGTCTGAACTGTCCTCCGGGGGAAATTTGACTTTGTGCGTTGTCATTTTAACCAAATATCCAAAAACAGTGTTGAGGAATTAAATAAAGCGACACATTTTCAGGTCTCCACTCTATCTTCGTTTCATCAGAAGAGATGTTTTTAGGCAGTTTGACAGTTAATGAGAAAATGGAGGCTGTTTTGGGAGTTATTTGTTTTTGACTTCACAGTGATGTCAGAACAAAGAAAGACGAAGGCTGCTGATGTGATTATCCACCTCTTAGTGATAAAAACATCTAATCAGTGTTGTATGTTTTTAACAGGCTCTCCCAAATCGTAGCCAGCTCCTGGGGCAGATTTTATACGTGTCACTTCCTACAAGAGCTCAACATTTTATTTTTTTACAACACCAGGAAGCTGTGAATGGATGGATTAATACTCAGACGTAAAAATAAACACTAGTTTGTTTATTCTACGTGGCTTACTGTTTTAATAAATCAAAAACAAAAATACAGAAAAGCCTCACGTCTGTAATGTTTGTTAGCATACTTGTTAAAGGTTTGACTTTCTTCCATCCATCCATC